CAGGCTATCACCTATATTTTGGAAAAATCCTTGAATTTCTGTTTTCTTCCTCCCTATGACTTTCAAATTGAATTTGGGGCAAACTGACTTCTGCCTGATTTGTTTTGGAAGAACCATTGGGAAACCAAACAAAATGGGATTAAATCTTATGCATTAAGTAGGCATATCGATGGCCAAATCTAGAATATTGCTCAGTTATATATTTCAGTTCATATAAATTGTTGCCACAACATTTGGTCCTTATCTGAACTCTTGAAAATCCTTGCATATTGCCTTTTTTCGTTGTAAACTTTCTACATCGTGGACACAAAAAATTCTCTGTTTCTTATTGCACTTCTTTTAGGAACTCTAGATGATCTAGACGTACAAGAACTGATTAATTTACATTTAGATATCCTATAGTGGAGTTTGGATTGGAATGATACTGAAAAGCCTTCAAGGATAAGTAGTCAAGTCCAGTATTCCAAAAAGTGCTCGTAGAGATGCTTAAGCGGTCACTTTAGTGAAGTGGGTCCTGAGCAGTAACTCACTATGCTATATTGCTATTATCCTTAGTTGCAGCTAATAGTGAATAAAAGTTGAAGGAGGCATTAAAGCGTCATAAATGCCTAACACATTGCTTCTTTGTATTCGCTCTAAGGGGCAATAGAAATTTTAATGATCTTAACCCATTCATTTTTTTACACTCAGCTGATACCTATTCTCACTATTTCGGAGAGGATTTGGTTCTTGTTTGATTTCAACCACAAGGGTTGGTTCCATTTTTCTCATTTCTGACCAGTAGTGAGTGGTAGCAATGAAGTGGCTAAGTTCTTTTTTCCCCCTGAGTTGTCTTGGATGTTCTTTACTATATAAAATCGAACATTTACTCTTTTTTTTTTGGAATTGTCCTCCTGCATTCTGCAAATTCTCTAATTGTCCTTCATCCTTCACTTTTCTCTAATGGGCTTTTTTTTTTGTAATTCAACATTTAAACTTTTATGCTTACTAGATAATAGCTAACAGCTTAAGCTCGTGGCTTGGGTAACAATGTACATCAAGCAACTATAAAAATTGTGACTTTCTCTCCTGTTCCCATAAGAGCTATATCAAAAAACCAACCCTTTAGGTTAAGCTGATCGATCTATGAACTAAGAATATACATCAAGCAATATAACACTTAGGATAAGTAACATGATGCATAACCCATTCTAAAAAGTCTCAGTATTTTTCTCAAAATTGCTCATGTTTTCTTCTAGTATTTTATGAGATGCAAATTTGTGGTCCTAGAGGAACCAAAGTTCAACGTTAAGTAGGTATTTTAAGAGAGGGTTGGGTAGCCTAGGATGGTAAGTTTGATGCAAAGCTTGACTTGCAAGGATCTGACTAACGTTTACTTAGTAAATGGTAGGGAAATTATGGCTATTAATTAGCCTCTAATGGTCAAGGAGGCTAACACTTACCCTCATTGGATGGAAGGTACCAGGCTACACTTGCATTATCACTCTATGATAAAGTTGTCGCCGTATTGAACACGTATTTGAGATAATTTCTTAGGCATTACTTGTACGCTTGTGAATTCTTATTTTGTCATGATTCAAACATGATTGTTATGATTCAAAGATATTTAACACATTTTCTTAAATATATAACGTATTCCTAATTTTTGATATTTAGCTAAATACTTCCTAGAAGTGCAGTATACATAATATGAGTTTTTCCTTTTCTTTTTCATAGCAAAGTGTGTTATGAGAATATATTGAAATAAAAAGTGAATAATTCTTAACATAGGACCCATAGCCCATAAACCCAATGTTACATTAAACGCTGGGCGCTTCTAGGCGTCGGACTTGGCGCCCAACGCTTAGTCGCCTAGGCGGGCGCTTAAGCGGTTTCTGGGCGTTTTTTTCTTTCTTCATTTAAGTGGTGATCGATGAGGTTTTGCTGAAGGTCGGAAGAGGTAGTAGAGATGTTCATATTTGGAGGTTAATGGAGTTTGGAGGACGTGTAGGCTATGATACATAAAATCACAATTAAGGCCTACAGGGTGCAATCCACGTAAGCAGACAATGCTCCCCTAAACGTTCGTAAAATCTAGATGGGCAGCCTAAATACCGCCTAGGCGTTAGGCGCTAGTTAGGCGGCCTAGGTACCGTCTAGGCCTAGGCGCCTAAGCGGACTAGGCGGAGGTTTTTTAAAACAGTGTATAAGAGCCTAATAATACCCAGATGAAATGTATTGCGAAATTGGAATTATTTGAATTGTATTCTAGACTTGAAACTTGTGGAGGATGTTAGTTTCTTCTTTTCCTTTTTGTCCTTTCATTTTGTTTGAAAGACAATAGTCTACATTTTGAATCCTTTTGTGTTACTGCTAGTTTCATTTGAATGAAAATTGAGCTAAACTTGATACTTGATTTATATATGACTTATGAACTGCTTTCTACAAACCAATATTTTTCTTTGATTAGATATTTAGGAAGAATCTTAGAGTCATGGCAAGAAAGAGAATGAGAAATTTGCTGGACTTATATGCTTTAATGATATGGACATGGACATCACAATTGATGGTTACCATGGGATGGCCATATTGTTGAAATATGTCTCTTGCATCCAAGTTTGTACATGGTAAATTGAGAACGGCAAGAAACCGAATGAGGAAATAGGACAAATTAATGAGTTTAATTAAAGAGGAAAGAGCATGAGATTCATAAGATCAACTAAGAGGGTGATTAAATATATATTAGATAAGATAGCCTGAAGACACCTATAGGGGTTTGCCTTTTGGTGAATCGGATTCATTGTCTTATTAACCAATCCATTTAGTCGTACATCTTCTTTTATGGGCCTTAATCAAATTCCTAAGAATAAGCTCTTCAATTCGATTTGATGAGCAATGATGCCTGGGTATTATCAAAGATGAGATAGTCCACCATGCTATAAGGAAGGGGACTTGCAAGTTGAAAGTTCATCTGCTTTGTTGGTTCATAAAGGAAGCAGAAGAAATTTGAAGGAAGCAGAAGAAACTTAAAAGGATAAACTAGCTCTGACCCATGAAGGAGGTCAAATGACTCGTAGTCCCACAATCCAACTTGCAAATACACAGAAGAGATTACTTGGATATAACCTGTAAGAGCCGATGGGGAGTCCTTGGACTCGATCAAATATGAGCCAAAATACATTTTGTTTTTCTTTTTGCAATACGTCCTGTAACGCAATTAGGAAATATGGTTGCTTGATGAGTCTTGTTAAAAAGAAAAGTAAGCTATGGCATTAGTAAGATATAGTTCATGTTGACAATGTGGGTTGTTGTTTATTAGGTTAAATATGAGTAAACCAAATGACTCTAGTAAGGCTTTCCCCTTTCAGGACAATTGGGTTGTCTTATTATTTATTAACTAATCCATCTAGTTGACATCTCTTGAACGGAGTCTTAAACAAATTCCTAAAACACCATTCTAAACATAGGACCCATAGCCCATAAACCCAATGTTACATTAAACGCTGGGCGCTTCTAGGCGTCGGACTTGGCGCCCAACGCTTAGTCGCCTAGGCGGGCGCTTAAGCGGTTTCTGGGCGTTTTTTTCTTTCTTCATTTAAGTGGTGATCGATGAGGTTTTGCTGAAGGTCGGAAGAGGTAGTAGAGATGTTCATATTTGGAGGTTAATGGAGTTTGGAGGACGTGTAGGCTATGATACATAAAATCACAATTAAGGCCTACAGGGTGCAATCCACGTAAGCAGACAATGCTCCCCTAAACGTTCGTAAAATCTAGATGGGCAGCCTAAATACCGCCTAGGCGTTAGGCGCTAGTTAGGCGGCCTAGGTACCGTCTAGGCCTAGGCGCCTAAGCGGACTAGGCGGAGGTTTTTTAAAACAGTGCATAAACCTTATCTCATAAGAATAAATTGGAAGTCAGTACTTGCTTCTGTAATTGTACTTATCAAATGGGAATATTTTCTTGTATTTGTATTGAATTAATATTCTCTAACTGATATAAAGATAGGTGATGTTATTGTGTTTCTGTTCTTCTTGTTCTTGTCTTACTTAATTTGCTAGACTTATAGGCTTTTAATGATACGGATATGGACATCACAATTGGTGCAGATTACCATGGGCTGGCCATATTGTTGAAGTATGTCTCTTGCATCCAAGTTTGTATATGATAAATTGAGAATGGCAAGAAAGAGAATGAGAAATTTGCTGGACTTATATGCTTTAATGATATGGACATGGACATCACAATTGATGGTTACCATGGGATGGCCATATTGTTGAAATATGTCTCTTGCATCCAAGTTTGTACATGGTAAATTGAGAACGGCAAGAAACCGAATGAGGAAATAGGACAAATTAATGAGTTTAATTAAAGAGGAAAGAGCATGAGATTCATAAGATCAACTAAGAGGGTGATTAAATATATATTAGATAAGATAGCCTGAAGACACCTATAGGGGTTTGCCTTTTGGTGAATCGGATTCATTGTCTTATTAACCAATCCATTTAGTCGTACATCTTCTTTTATGGGCCTTAATCAAATTCCTAAGAATAAGCTCTTCAATTCGATTTGATGAGCAATGATGCCTGGGTATTATCAAAGATGAGATAGTCCACCATGCTATAAGGAAGGGGACTTGCAAGTTGAAAGTTCATCTGCTTTGTTGGTTCATAAAGGAAGCAGAAGAAATTTGAAGGAAGCAGAAGAAACTTAAAAGGATAAACTAGCTCTGACCCATGAAGGAGGTCAAATGACTCGTAGTCCCACAATCCAACTTGCAAATACACAGAAGAGATTACTTGGATATAACCTGTAAGAGCCGATGGGGAGTCCTTGGACTCGATCAAATATGAGCCAAAATACATTTTGTTTTTCTTTTTGCAATACGTCCTGTAACGCAATTAGGAAATATGGTTGCTTGATGAGTCTTGTTAAAAAGAAAAGTAAGCTATGGCATTAGTAAGATATAGTTCATGTTGACAATGTGGGTTGTTGTTTATTAGGTTAAATATGAGTAAACCAAATGACTCTAGTAAGGCTTTCCCCTTTCAGGACAATTGGGTTGTCTTATTATTTATTAACTAATCCATCTAGTTGACATCTCTTGAACGGAGTCTTAAACAAATTCCTAAAACACCATTCTATTTTATGACAACCTGCTCCTTAGGTAAGTCCCCTAAGCAGTCTATGTATATTTGTGTATGGGAGAGTGAGTTTACTATCTATGCCATATTTGTATCTGGGGATTTTGTAGACGTATGCTATATCATTTTGTGCAATTTTCAAGATTTTTCATAGCCATCCAGCCATATCAGGTCATGTGCCTGCACCATGTCAGTTCTGAAGTCTCATGAGGACAATGTTGCCAATTGAAGGCCCATGCAATATGCTGGCACATGACATAAAGATTGGTGAGACACATCACATGTGAGAATGGCTGCACACTGAAACATTAACCAAAAGCAATGAATTTGGATCAAGATCTACAGGGTTAAGCTTTTCTGTAAAAAGTGTTCTGAATCCATTACAACTAGAATAGTTATATTGGCCTAAGAATGCTAAAGTATCATAGGATTTTTCTTCCTGTGTTACATGTTATTGCTGACAGATTAAGGGAAAAGGGCACACTTAAAAATTTCAACCTGCGGAGAACTTGATACCATACCCCTGGTGGCGTTGCTATGGTCAAAATGCTACGTAAATCACTGTAATTCGAGCACAAGAAAGCCCTTTTCTTCTTCTCTCTCTTCTCTTCCTCTCACCAGACTTTCTCTCTCTTCTGCCTTTTTTTCCTTCTCTCTGCTGTGCTAATTGGCAGCCCTTTCATTTCCTTTTATAAATAAACAAATCCTTTCCCTTTTTCCAATTGAGAAGAGGAGAAACAGATTTGAACTTTTTGTTGGTGGGTCCTATTAGTGTTGGACCCACTCAACTGGATGATGCATCTACTCTTCACAGATATTTGGCATTTTTAGCCATCACAATTTTATAGAACACTGTGTATACTTTGAAATCCTATTAAGTGTTGGGAAAATGGCCTGTGCTTCAATAATCCTGAGTTTTATCTCACACTTCTCAACATTTCTTTTCTGATGAATATGATTGCATAACTAAAAATACTTTGTTCTTAAAATTCGGCGGATGTAGTGCTTTAGCCCATAGTTATGTAGTACCATGTAATGCTTCTGCCATGTACAAAACGTACACTTCAAAATCCTATAAGTTAATTGGAATACTGGCTTGTGGTTCGATACTCCTGACTTTTATCTCACACTTATCAACATTTCTTTCTTTTCGTCTTAATAAGGTTACATAACTGACTTGGATGTTAAAATTCATCAGAGATAGTGCTTTTGCCCACAGTTAATCTTTATTGGTTCTACTGATTCTTCAATGATTTTCAATTCAAGCTCATGGACGGGAGAACAAGGTTTCCACTTGTATGTTAGACTAGTATTTTGGCTAACCAGTCAAACCTAGAATTTTGCTGCTTAAATTTTTATGTTTCTTAGTTATCCTTAATAGTTTGTATCCATTGATGATTCATCTTTTCATAAGCATTATGTTTTTCTTGATTTAGGGAATGTGGACTACAATCTGCTGCTACAATTGATGATGGTGATACCTGTGCAGTTTGCTTGGAAAGGGCTTGCAATGTAGCTGCGGAAGGTTTGCCTGCTGTTTCTGCAAATCTTTATTTTACATTAATGTTGTGGTCAGTTCCCTTTTGTATCTGGTCAAATTAAGTAGTTGTTGCCTAACAGTTACAAATTCCTCTTGAAAAAAAGAAAAAAAGAAAAAAAAAGGGAAGCCAAAGCACACAAGCCCTTCTAAGGTAGTGTGAAGCATAATCACATTAGCCCAGGATTGATACCAAAGTGTGAAGAAAGAGAACAATCAAATATTTGGAGCTAACAACTTATTACACACACACACATCTACTCCTCTATACTTATAGAAGGATCCAAAAGGTCACTATTCATGCTACAGTAATGCTACATCGAATTACTGTGGTGTTATTGCTGTAGCAATATCACTGTAGCACAAACAGAGCACAAGCAGAACACTGACATTTTAAAAAGTACTGTGGCGTTAACAAAACAACAACTTTTAAAAGAAGAATTACTGTAGCAGAAATAAAAAAGAGCTCACACTAGTATATATATAATTCACAACAAGAAAATTCCAACTTTTAGAAAAAAGAACCAGTGAATTATAAATGTTAGAATATAAACATAGAATTCCCAACTCACCACAACTTCAGTGTTTTGGTGTAATGTTTAAGAGACACTTAATTTAAGGTGGTATCAGAACCCAGTTCAAATCCCATCTGCCATGACTTTAAAGCCGATTTTCTAAAATTATCACCACCGTGTGAGTTTAGTTTTCGGCCCATAAAAAATAGGTTCTCACCCTGAGAGGTGCATGTTAGAATATAAAAATGTAACTCTCAACTCTCTCTCTCACCACAGTTATAGAGTTTTCTTTAATGGTTAGAGGGAATTAATTTAATAGTAAAAAATAATTACTGTAGACAAGGATAGACGAATATGGAAGTAAAGTGGTAAGATGGCATAGGATGAGACAGGAAGTAAGTTGTTGGAGAAATTGTGGTAAGTTGGTTTGGGTGGAGAAAAATGGACTATTATAGGAGGAAGGAAAACCTCTAGATGCTTTGGAATGATAAATGACATAAATATTAGTCAAATATGGCTTTGAAAATGTATTGATTTGCTTTGATTACGTTTGGAGCTCAAACGAAGAGACATTAACAATATATTTGGATGTGTTTAGACCCAAAAGGTTAATGTATTAGGTATTTGATTCCGATACATTCATTCTGTCAGAACTACACTCAATTTCTGATGTCAAACTAAACCTTAACTTGATTGGCACCTTATTTGGGTGCTTCTATCCTGATCCCAGATGAAAAGTCCACCAATTTATTGGTTGGGAAAGAAGGTATAAGTTTTTTGGCTTGAAGAATTTTTGAGGTCTAATGAATACATGGCAAGTGGATATGTAAGCCCGTATAATATGGACATTTCATGTGCTTTAGTTGCACGTAATCCCATATTTTGGCAACAACATTCTTATTCGTGTATAGGTTATTACCCTGCAACTCCCATGGTCGTACAAGTAATAGGCAAGTGGTATTATTGCAGAACCTCTTAGGCAGGTGCTTATACACACACACACACGCGCACACACACACACACAAATACACACAAATGAGTACCATCAACATAAATTTTCAGATCAATCATCAACCAGATGATGGCCACTTCATGTGGCTTTTTACTTGCGTGAAATTTCATATTTTGGCAAAAAACATTCTAATTTATGTGATGTATGGGTTATTATTCTGCAACTCTCATGGTAGTACAAGTAATAGGCTAGTGTTTATCTATCAACTAATGAATATTATCAACATAAATTTTCATATGTACCATTAACCAGATAATCAACATCATTTCTTACAAAACTCAATAATTGAGAACTAATTTGAACCAATGAAGCAATCCTCGAGTAACATGGAATGTATATCAAAATTTGCATATAAGGAAATGAAACTCAGTATTGGACCTTTGTACTAAATTACTTCTTCAATGCCTTGATATCCACTAATTATTGAAATTTTTAGGTTGTGCCCATCAACTCTGTGTCAAGTGTGCTCTCTATCTCTGTTCAACAAGCAACATCACATCTGAGATGGTCGGCCATCCAGGATCTATCCCATGTCCTCTTTGTCGAACTGGCATAGTCTCTTTCATCAAACTCTCCACCACGCCAACAAAAGAGCTCAAGCCAAACCTGGCACTCAGCCTATGTAACCCGTGCATTTTACACCCCCGTGCTCTTCCCCCACCAGAGTCTATGTCCTGCAGGTCTGAATTTCGTCAGAATCGTGTGGTAGCAGTTTCTTCAGAGGTTGTTTGCCCTCTGTCTTGCACTCCATTTCCTTCTGCTGCTCTTCCTTCATGCTCGTGTGATGATGACCCGAGCACGGGCATTGAGTCTGAAGGGGAGGCAAGAGAGCAATTCCCTCGTGGCTCACAAAGCAGTTCTACAAATGAGGTAGAAGATAAAATAGATGAGCAGAGGCTTGAGAGAACGAGCTGTTCGGGTATTTTTTGGAACCGAAGGAGCTGTCACCGCGAGCATCAGTGCAATTCGGAGATAAATGCCTGAACTCTGTGAATAGTTGTAGTTTACAATGTTTTATTTCATCATACGACAGAAATAGGTTGTATGTGGAAAGGGTTGTGTTTCATGTTGCCGAGTATATTTGTGTGGCCGTTGAGCAAGAGGAAGTGGGTTAGATGCAATGTCTTGTTGTTGAACGTAGGGTTAGTAATTATCTTTTTTCCTCCTTTTTTGGCGGTAATTTTCTGTATATTAGTTAAGCATTGGCTTGCTGCATTTGTGCTTGCAAGTTTTGTGGTCTATTTGAATGCTTTACTATACAAGTATTACCTGAGAACTATACAGCCTCTTACAGTAGTCGATAGCATCAAAGATGCGTGCTTCTGTTTTATATTTTATTTATTTTTGAGTGATTGGATTTTATACCCATCGTACCGTAAAAAAAAAAAAATAAAAAGAGAAAAAAATCGAAGTTAAGCGGAAATGAGCGCAGATGATAGATTTGTTAATTGCTTGATTTGGATTTAACCATGGCTGTCTAAATAGTAATAAACAGTGAGGTTATCTGTGAACGACGGTCGGTGCGAGCAGGGAATATGCCCACGCGAGCAGGCACGCGGGAGCAGCAGTTAGGCCCACCCGAAATACATGTGCAGCAAGTAATTGGGCTGGCGATGTTTGCTATAAATACCACCATATTTTTTTTCCTAGGATTTTGTGTGGGGAGAAAAATACATGGGTTTAGTCGGTTGCAAAGAAGACTTGAGGAGAGAAAATGAGAAATCTTGAGAGAGAGAAATCAAATCTTTTTCTTTGAGACGAGCTTGTGGATTGTACAAGTCATTGGTGTTCTTATCATAGTGGAATCTTCCCTCACCCCTCCCGTGGACGTAAGTACGTTTGTCGAACCACATAAATCTCGCGTCTTTACTCTTTTCTGGGTGTTGGCTATTGCTTGTAGATTCTCTCGACAATTCAGTCCTAGAACTGATGAGAGGAAGAGTGTATATCTCATTTTGTTGAGATATTTCACTTCTATTCTTGTTTCATTTGTGAAACAGAATATAGAGGTTGGGTTGAGCTTTTGTGAAAACAAAAACCAGGATTTTCTCTCGGGTTATATCGTTTCTGCGGCGTGAGGACATGACTCTGCTCCCAACAATTTGTATCAGAGCTGTTATTCAGATTGAGAGTGGTGTAGCTTCTGGTTTTAGGTGTTGCTCGACAATTTCCTGAGAGAAGCGGATTTATTAATACAAGCGGAGGATGACGTCAACTAGCAAAACAGTTAAAGTTGGAAAGTACGAGATCAAAAAGTTCAATGAGAAGAATAATTTTTCCTATTGGAGGATGCATATGAAAAACTCGTTGATTTCGTAAAAATTGCACAATGCTTTGGCTGGAAAAGAGAAGAAGCATAAGGATATGTCTGATGAGGATTGAGAGTAGCTGGATGTGGAAGCACGGACGTCGATTATCCTTTGCATTGAAAGGAATGTAGCTTTCTTGGTAGATGGAGAGGAAACGACTGCGGGCGTGTGGTCGAAGTTAGAAAGCACTTTCATGACGAAAAGTCTAACAAACCGGATTTATTTAAAATCCAAATTGTATAATTGCAAGATGGATGAGGGCTCATTAATCCGAGAATACATCAACAAGTTTGATAGGTTCATATCATTCTTAAAGGACATAGACGTGACAGTTGAAGATGAGGATCGGACGCTTCTACTACTTCTATCTCTGCCGAAGTCATATGAGAATCTGGTGCAAACACTAATGCTTGTGGGAGATAATTTGACAATGGATGAGACTAGAACGACGCTTCTAGCGAATGACCTTCGGAAGATTGCAACCAGTGACATGGCTACTGGTGGTAGCAAAAAACAAGCGCATGGATTGTTTGCTAGAGGAAGGAGCAATGAGCAAGGAAAAAAAAGGCAAGAGAGGAAAGTCTAGATCTAAATCAAGACCTCTTGCGGGAAAGACCGTGTTTCAAATACGGTGAAGTTTGGCATTTCAAGGTCGATTGTCCAAATAAAAGAGTAGGTAGAAAGAAGAACAACAACAAGACTGAGAGGAGAAAATGCAAGGAAGAAGCGAACTATGTTTCGTAGGAAGGGAGTGAGAAGGAATGCTATGTCGTCATGGATGGAGAGGATATCTCCGGGAAGTGGATTCTTAATTCAGATTGCTCTTACCACATGTGCCCAAATAGGAAGTTGTTTACTACATACAGAAGCATTGATGGTGGAATCGTACTGATGGGGAACAACCATGCTTGTAAAACGGTGGGGCTAGGTGATATCAAGATTAAGATGCATGATGGAGTGATCCGAACCTTGACAGATGTGAGGCACGTTCCCGACTTACGGAAGAATCTTATCTCAGTTGGTGCATTGGACTCTGACGGTTACAAGATTGTTACAGAGAATAGAGTGAAGAAGGTTGTTCGGGGTTCTCTAGTAGTGATGAAAGGTGTTCGTCACGGTAATTTATACACTCTCTCAGGTACGACGATGACGGGAGATACAACGGTTAAAACTAAAGAAAGTGGTGGAGACCCATGTGAGCACACTCAGGTATGGCATAGGCGACTTGGGCACATGTTAGATAAGGGTCTAGATCTGCTTGGTAAGGAAGGTTTGCTGAAGAATATGAAGAAATATTACATGGACTTTTGTGAGGATTGTGTGTATGGAAAGGCGCACATGGTCCAGTTCTTGAAAAGCAAGCACAAAAGTAGATGTATATTAGACTATGTGCACACAGATGTTTGGGGCCTGGCTCAGACAACTTCCAAGGGTGGTTCCAGATACCTTGTCTCGTTCATAGATGACTATTCTAGGTATGCTTGGATTTACTTTCTGAAACATAAGAATGAGGTGTTCGAGACATTTAAGAAGTGGAAGATGATGGTTGAGAACATGACAGTGAAGAAATTAAAGACACTAAGATCTGACAACTGTATAAAGTATACAAATGGTGCTTTCAAGGAGTTCTGTGATCAGGAGGGCATTGCTAGACACTGGACAGTCATATCTATACTATAATAGAATGAGGTCACGGAGAGGCTGAACCGAACATTACGGGAGAAAGCAATGAGTATGCGATCTTATGCTGTATTAGGCAAAGAATGGTGGGTAAAAGCGGTGGCTACAGCTTGTTATATTATGAACCGTTCTCCATATTCTATATTGGATGGTGATACACCCTATAAGGTATGGTCAGGAGAGCATGCAGATTATGTGAGGATCCGGATTTTTGGGTGTACCGCCTATTATCACGTTTACGAGGGAAAGCTTGATGCGAGGGCCAAGAATGCTATATTCTTAGGATATGCAAAGGGTATAAAAGGCTACCGTCTTTGGTGTATAGAATATTCGAAGTTCGTGATCAGCAAAAATGTTACATTTGATGAGAAATCCATGATTGCTAAGGCGCCTAAGGATGATGGTGTTGGGACTGTTAGGACTTCAAAGTCCCAGGTTATTAAGATAGAACCTAAAGACCAACCATGTTCGAGTCGTGTTCAAGTAGGAAATCAGGTAGATGATGACCTTGAGTAGGAGGAGGTTTAGTAGGAGAATACACAAGCACTACAACAACAGCAGTTCGAGGATAGTTTAGCTTCCACTAGGACAAAGCGAGCATATAAGCAGGTACTGAAGCTGGGGGCTGATCAACCCCTGAAGCACTATGAACAAGTTAATTTGGTGGAATACGCACTCTTGGTGGAGGTTGATGAGCCGGTCTCCTTCAAGGAAGCTATTTGGGATAGAGATAGTGAGAGTTGTTTAGCTGCGATGGAGGAGGAGATGAAATCTCTTCGGAAGAACCAAACATAGGAGGTTGTCCCATTGCCCGTAGGAAGAAAAGCTATTGGTTGTAAGTGGGTGTATAAGAAAAAAGAGGATCCTTCAGAGCTTAGTGGGATAAGGTACAAGGCTAGGCTAGTGTCTAAGGGATTTGCACAAAGAGAGGGTGTAGATTACAATAATATATTTTCTCCGGTGGTGAAACACACTTCTATTCGGGTGCTATTGAGTATTGTTGCTCATAATGATCTTAAACTGGAACAACTCGATGTTAAAATGACCTTCTTGCACGGAGACTTGGATAAAGAGATCTATATGCATAAACCTGAGGGCTACAGGGTTGAGGATAAGGAGAATCTTGTGTGTCACTTTACTCTATAGATTAAAGCAATCTCCTCGGCAGTGGTACAAGGAATTTGACTCCTTCATGCTGAAGTATGGATTTTCCCGAAGCGATTACAATTGTTGTGTTTATATTCGGAAGCTTCATGGAGGTGATTATATCTATCTCCTTTTGTATATAGATGTCATGCTTATTGCTTCGAAGAGCATGATGGAGATAGATAGGTTGAAATCTTAACTTGGTAAAGAGTTTGAGATAAATGACATGGGCGTTACAAGGAAAATACTGGGTATGGAGATTAGGAGAAAGCGGGTGAATCAGCGATTGTTCTTGAGCCAGAAGGGCTACATAGAGGGGGTGATCGTGAGGTTCGGGATAAAAAGTACTAAGTCAGTGGTGACTCCATTGGCTTCACTCTTTAGGCTTTCAGGTAAACAATCTCTCACTACAACGAAAGAGAAGGCACACATTGAGCGTGTACCTTATGCTAGTGCAGTTGGTAGCTTGATGTATGCAATGATACGTACACGTCTAGATATTTCACAGGCGGTCAGTGTCGTCAGTAGATTCATAGCGAATCCGGGAAAGACACATTGGGAAGCGATGAACTGAGTCTTGAGGTACTTGAAGGGTACCGTTGATATGGGTCTATATTTTGATGGAGATACATGTCAGATTGATGGGTTTATGGAATCAGATTATGCGGGTGATCTAGATAGATGGAGATCTACTACTGGTTATATATTCAGGATACATGAGGCTCTAGTTAGTTGGTGATCGATGTTACAGGCTACAGTCGCACTTTCTACTACAGAGGCTGAGTACATGGCCATGACGGAGGGAGTGAAGAAAGTATTATGGTTATGGGGTCTTCTAGACGATTTGGGAATTGAGTAGGAGAATGTGAACTTGTGGTGCGACAGTCAGAGTGCGATTCACTTGGCAAAGAATCAAGTTCATCATGCTCGTACCAAGCATATTAATGTCAGGTATCATTTCGTGTGGGATGTCATAGAGGAAGGTGATATTTCTCTCATGAAGGTGCATACGAGTGAGAATCCCGCGGACATGTTAACCAATATGGTAATAGGTAGTAAGTTTAAACATTGCTTGGAGTTGTTTCATATCAGCCTGTGTTGAACTG